GACAAAATAATTCCTATTTCTCCAGACTCAAGTGGAGTTTGGGAACAAGAAATAAAACAGCTTCTACTGCACAAATTCCGCTGTGATCCATCATCCTGTCCTGTGTAGCTTTCAGCTATCCATACAGCCTATTTATAGAGAGAAACATAGTCTTGCGCACGGAGGGAGGATGCCAGCAAGTGTCCAGCAAATACAGCTTGTCTCTATATTTTATGTGCCAACTTAAAATTGTAATAACAAGCTGTCCCAGTTGCTGCAGACCTTTGCTGCAAAATGTCATTGGTTTTGAAACCAAGCTGACCCTGGCTTTAGCTGAGCATCTCCTTGTTTTCCCTGATCTGGTTTGCCTCAGTTGTGGTTTCTGACTGTATCACAACAAGTGGGAAAAGAATGCTTTAATACAAGCCTGTTTTAAATTTGATTTTAAGATCAGGTGTATAAAATTGGCTATTTCCTATTGGCTATTTAGCTTGCAAATTTTGTAGCACAGGTAGTCCTCGACTTACAACAGTTCGCTTAGCGACCGCTCAAATTTACAACAGTGACTTATGACCATTTTTCACACTTACGACCACTCCAGCAGCCCCATGGTCGCGTGATCAAAATTCAGGCTTGGCAACTGACTTGTATTTATGACAGCTGCAGTGTCCCGGGATCAAGTGATCCCCTTTTGCGACCTTCTGACAAGCAAAGTCAGTGGGGAAGCCGGATTCATTTAGCAACCATGCTACTCACTTTACAACTGCAGCGATTCACTTAGCAATGTGGCAAGAAAGATTGTAAAATGGGGTAAAACTCACTTAGCTGTCTTGCTTAGTAACATAAATTTGGGGCTCGGTTGTGGACATAAATCGAGGACTTGGAAAAATACAACTTGCAGTTTTCCTGATCAGATGTGCTAAATTGGGCTGTACAAGATCACACACTTAGATTACTCATTTGTTGATGTTTTCAAGTAAGGGAATGTTGGCCTTTTGCAAATAGAGCATAGTTAAAGTAAGTTATGATTGTGTCCATGTTTCAGTAAGAATAGAGCTGGAAGGGACCTTGGAGGTCTTCTAGTCTAGCCTAACTCATGCTTGAGCAGGAGACCCTATATACCAGTGGTGGCGAACCTATGGCATGCGTGCCAGAGGCGGCACTCAGAGCCCTCTCTGTGGGCACACGTGCCATGCCCCGGAGATGGCAACCGTCCCTCTTCAACCAGCCGCCCGCTAACTCGCCGAGGTCCCACATGGCCAAATGCATCCCAGCACCCATGCACTCACTGGCCTCTGTGTGCAGGGGATGATGGTGTCAGGCAGCAGCCGCCCCGGCCTCACCTTGCCCTGTGACAATGGCATCCCCGCCCTGCCTCGCCTTGCCTCACCTCACCCCGCAGGACGAGCCTCCTGCCCACCGCCCCACCTGCCAGAGACCCCCTGGATCTCCCCCAGCCCTGCCCGGCCCCCACAGGCGTCCCTCCCCACAAGCAACATCGAGCTGACCACGCCCACCTTGGCCACACCCACCCAGTCTGCCATGACCACCACAGCCACGCCCACCCAGCGGGCCACGCCCACCTGGCGCCCGGCGATAAATAAGTGGGTTTTGGGTTGCAGTTAAGGCGCACGGTCTCTAAAAGGTTTGCCATCACTGCTATATACCATTGGCTAAATAGCTAAATAAATAATTTTTTAAAATAGTTTACTAAATTGGAAATAGTTTAAATGAAAAACAGCGCAACACAGCCATCTAGTTCTGAGGAAGAATCCCCGTAGTCTAAATATGTTGGAACTCCCCAGATGTTTGGATCTTTTCATGCCAAGATTGAAAGTAGATAAAGAATTTCAAAGTTGGTTAATTTAAATCTAGGTTTACCCTTGGAATCAGAGTTGAAAATGTGTGCTAAGTGCTTATTAAAAAAAACGTGACCGAGGTCAAAGAGATAATTATGACAATAATTGTTTGTTTTATTTGCTTGCACTTGCTAATATGGAGGTGAAATGTAAACTGTCAGCCCCGATAACCAACTTTGCTGGAAGGATGCAAGAACCAAAGTCAAGGCAAACAAGGTCATTAATGCAATTTAAAAGCTGGCAATCATTCCCCCCCCTCTTAGGCTGTAGGGTAAAAATAGCTTTCACAACAGTTCTTGAAAGGAGCTGATTCAGCTCCTAAAGACTCCAGGATATCTCTAGCTTGATGCTAACTCATATTCCAAGTTTTAATGAAAACGAAGATGAAAAAAAAAATCCCGATTAAATAATTGTATGGCATACAGTTCAATAACTTCTGAAAATGAACTCTCTGCACAAACACTAAATAATTCATGTCATATCAGACAAGAGAAATATATTTTTACTAGAAACAATTACGATACCCTGAATAAACCATGATTTAAAGCATTCAGTTGACGCCTCCTGACCAGCGATTTAAATAAAATCCACCCTGGTTTGCCATTTTAGTGGGATTTCTACTTTTATTTTCGTGTCTACTCTTATAAGCCCTCCAACTTTTTTTTATTATATGTATATTTTGCAATTCAGCGGCATTAAAACCAGTCTATTGTTGAAGAGGCAATTTGATGTACAAATTGCCTGTTCTGTGTTCAGTTAGACATGTACATTAATGGGAAAATAATTATTGCAATGTTGAATTAATACTGTGGTTATGTTATCCGGAGGTACCAACGCTTCTCAGAATGTTTTCTGTTCAATTAAATCCTGTACTTTGCTTCTTCTTGCCAATATAGCATGGTGAGGCCTGCATGTGCATATCTTTGAACAACAGTACTTGCTAAAGTGATAGAAGCTCTTCCATTCACACTTACTGATTACAGGTAGTCCTTGACTTTGTTGTTGTTGTTAGTTGTGAAGTCGTGTCCGACCCATCGCGACCCCATGGACAACGTTCCTCCAGGCCTTCCTGTCCTCTACCATCTTCTGGAGTCCATTTAAGGTCATGGATGGGGCTTTGCTTGTTTGTTCGGCCCACTTGCTGGCATGCCGTGGACCGATAGTGGTCCGCGGACCGGGAGATGGGGACCCCTGGTGTAGAGTCTCCTGCTTGGGCGGGGGGTTGGACTAGATGACCTACAAGATCCCTTCCAACTCAGTTATTCTAGCTTATAACCCACTAGATATCTGGATGGACTTTAAGTTAGACTAGTGTCATATGTCTGATTAACGAAACACTAAAAAGGACTTTCAGGCATATTTTCTCCTAAAAGCATTTATTAATGTTACAGATACGTCAGCACAATATGGAGGAATGCTTAGATCTGCTTCTCTTCCGTAGGCATAACATTCCAAACATTTCCACTCCCTTATTGTAGGGTCATGGTTCACATCTTCCAATCAACTTGGAAGATGTGATTTACTTCCGGTTTCTTTCTCCCTGCTATCCTTATACTCCTCCCTCTTTCTTGGTTGCTGGTTTAACTATATAAATACCAGACAGTTCTGCACATTGTCAAAGCAAGAATATACAGTATTTGCAGCGTTGACAACTAGGATACTGATTGTGAACCTTTTGGGCTCAGTGTGTCAACAATTTGGAAAATGCCTAACTTGACTCTGCTTCTCCCTCCCTCCCTCCCTCTCTGCAAATGGTTGTAAGTTGAGGATTATCTATAGTTATCAGCTTTGCAGAGCAATACCATTCTCTCTCTCTCTCTCTCTGTCTCTCTCTCTCTCTCTCTCTCTCTCTCTGACACACACACACACACACACAAAACACACACACACAATTATAGAAGGTCTAGGACAGCGCGCCACAGTCAATTTCCCCACGGGACAATTTGCCATGGCCAACTCGCCAGAGGACAAGAGTTACACTAATATCGAAGAAATGGTGACATAGAGTCATTAAAGTAAGGATGCAAAAGGAAAGACAAAATGAAACGTGAATGACAAAAATCAAAATATTTTAAAAATTATTTTAAATAATTAAATTGTTGAATTGTTCTGTGGCAAACTGACCATGGCAAGTTGGCCTTGGTGAATTGGCAGCAGGAAGTTGGCCGCAGCAAATTGTCCATTTCTGAATCTAGGCATCCTGAACAACTTCACTTGGTAGCAGCCCCGAGGCTGGGCCAGAAGTGGAGGGCCAGACCTCCTCCTCTTCCTCCCTACTGCCACCGTTGCCTTTCAAAAAGGCCACCTTGCACTGTTCACACACATGCAGGCCCCATTCTCAGCCAGCCTCCCCAAATCACCTGAGAACAGGGTGTGCTTTCAAGAATCGTTGTTGTCTGTTGGTGGACTGTCATGGTAATGATTTAGAAGTTAACCAGCTGATGTAAGATGTATGATGTAATGTTGGGAATGACTCAGCAGAGTCTGTGTCCCTTTAAGAGCCAGCTGGGACTGTATCTCTTTAAGAGCTTTGTATAAAAGGGAAGGATCTGCAGATGTGTTCTCTCTCTTCCGCTTTTCCTGCTGTAACTGCTGTGTGTTGGAGACTGCTGTATTAACACGTGTATGTATATTGTTCCTGGTATATGATATTATAGATAGTGTAAGATAAACCATCATTTAATATAGACCACTGTTTACTGTGTTTATTCCTGGGTTATCTCAGCGCAATAAGACCGTGCATGCTCTGACATGAACTCTGGCACATCACCCTAAAACATTGGGCTGCGCCATCTTTGTCGCACCTGTCATAGCTTTGCCATCACTGGACTAGGGTGTGGAAAGCACGTAGTTGAAAGCCACATGGGCATGTCCACGTAGTCCCCAGCTGCGAAGCTCCACTGTTAATTTTGAATAACCTCATTTGCAGGATATCTGGGCCAGTCCAATCAGCCATCTGAGCAGAGCACCGCTCTTTTAATCTGACTTAAGAGTTAAAACAGATACCCGAGAGTCAAAAGTTAAATCCAAAACCGTACAGTCTTATATAAAGCAGGGCTGCTGCAAGCATTAAGCTGAACCGATACCTACAATGGAGTTTGTCATATGCTGTGTTATAACTGTGAAGGTTGCTAACTGTGCTTTTTTTAAAATGTCTTTCAGATTCTCAATGGCTTCTAAGAAGTCGGGGTCTGATTTTCACGGTAAGTGAATGGCAAGGGCTGGATGCGTTATCCCTCTGAATGTAGTTTCTCCGTGATGGTTAAATGAAGGATTCTGACCGTGGGATTTAATTATTCATGGAAACCTAATAGGCTTTATTGGTTGTCTTCGACAATTTAGCCCAACATATCCATTGCTAAGCAAGACAGTTGTTCTAAGTGAGTTTTGCCCGGTTTTGCCACGGTAGAACTAGCAATAGCACTTAGACTTACCGTGTTTCCCCAAAAGTAAGGCCTACACCAACAATAAGCCCTAGCTTGATTTTGGGAGGATGGGCCTAATATAAGCCCTGTCCGAAAAATAAGCCCTAGTTTTGGGGCGAGGCACACACCTAAAAATCAAGCTGGGGTGGGGGTGTGGAGCTGCTCCACCCGCCCCGCACCCGCTTACCTTGCATCAGGCCTCTCCTTGCGGGCCCACTTCTTCTTCTGAGGCCTCTTCTGCAGCCACGCCTGCATTTCTCAGCCACAGGGCTTTCCAGGAGGCCTGTTCAGCCGAGAACCGAGCTATGGATTGAATCCATAGCTCGGTTCTGCAAGACCTCAGCAGCTGAGCACCAAACTATGGATTCAATCCATAGCTCGGTACTCGGCTGCTTAGGCCTTCTGGAAAGGCCTGACTACAAAATGCAGGCCCGAATGCAGCTGCAGAACTTCGGCCCCAGAAGAAGTGGACTGGCTGGGTGGGGCTGTCGGTGAGGTAAGACCTACCCCGAAAATTAGACCTGGTGCCTCTTGGAGGGTAAAAAAAAAAAAAGACCCGGTCTTGTTTTTGGATATATACCGCTTCAGAGTGCTTTATAGCCCTCTCTAAGTAGTTTAGAGAGTCAACATATGGTCCCCAACAATCTGGGTCCTCATTTTACTGACCTTGGAAGGACGGAAGGCTGAGTCAACTTTGAGCCGGTGAGACTCAAACTCCCGGCTGTGGGCAGTGAGTTAACCTGCAGTGCTGCGTTCCAACCATTGTGCAACCAGGGCTTAGTAGTTAAATGACTCACTTCAGTTGTTAAGCTGGTCACGTGGCTGGTCATTGATTCTGGCTTCCCCATTGACTTTGCTTGTCACAAAAGGGGGCATCACGTGACCCCGGGACACTGCGACCATCATAAATACGAGCCAGTTGCCAAACATCCAAATTTTGATCACGTCACCGCAGGGATGCTGCAACGGTTGTAAGCGTGACAAATGGTCCTAAGCCTCTTCTTTCAGTGCCGTTGTAACTCTGATCAGTCACTAAAACGAATGGTTGTACGTCAAGGACTGTCTCTACACTGAAGCGGATGACTGTTTTGCAGATGTGCAAGTTGCCAGAGCAATTTACAGAGGTTGGAAATGAGCAGTTTGAGATTTGAGAGATCAAATGACAACAGGGAACAGCTCAAGCCAGATAAATCTGTCAGTTGAATCCAAACATCTGGAGAATGAACCTCTTTTACAAGTCAGTTCCTGAGATGGGACCAAACGCCAGAACTGGCGGTCTGCCTTGGGTCACCTCCTTCTCAGACACTTGAGATGGCAAGAGGCATTACAGGTAGCCCATAATATCCATTTTGTGTTACAGTCTGGCATATTTGTGCAGTCTGGCTGGGCTTAACCTTCGAAACAGCCTAGTTGCTTATCATAATAAGCATCCTTAGTCTGGAAAATAGGAAATGCTGAGCACCAAAGAATGGAGGCCTTTGAACTCTGGTGCTGGAGAAGACTCCTGCGAGTCCCCTGGACTGCAAGGCGATCAAACCGGTCAGTCCTAGAGGAGATCAACCCTGACTGCTCTTTAGAAGGCCAGATCCTGAAGTTGAAACTCAAGTCCTTTGGCCACCTAATGAGAAGGAAGGACTCACTGGAGAAGAGCCTAATGCTGGGAAAGATGGAAGGCAAGAGAAGAAGGGGACGACAGAGAATGAGGTGGCTGGATGGAGTCCCTGAAGCAGTAGGCCTGAGCTTCAATGGACTCCAGAAGATGGTAGAGCACAGGAAGGCCTGGAGGAACGTTGTCCATGGGGTTGCGATGGGTCGAACACGACTTCGCAACTAACAACAACAAAGTCTGGAAAAAGCAGGAGAAAATACTGCGATTTCTTAAAGTTTTCTCTCAAAGCATCACGAGCTGTGGAAGCCTGGGATGATGTTCCACAAGGAGGGAGTCGCCACAGAGAAGGCCCTTCTTCTTGATCCCACCAAATGGACCTCCTTCAGAGAGGGGAATCCATAACATTCCCTGCCTCTCCACTCTGGTGGGTTGGGTAGAGAAGACTGGGGGGGAAAAAATGATCCTTCAGAAGAATGTAACACATATACCTTCATTGTTACTCTGTTCTTTTTTTTTTTTCTAATGTAAAGGTCATTGGAAGCTGGTCATGCAAACTTTACAACTGGACTAGAGGACTTTAGCTCTGATTTATAAGAGAGCTGCAGTCCATACAAGCCCTGTCAAGATTTTTAATGTTTCTTTTAACAAGGATTATGTTAATTGGGTAGGGGCTGTAACGTTTAGTAAGCTTTGAGAGTTTCCTAGGATATTTACTTTTCAGACAGAAAGTGCATAACTGGAATGCTGTTTGGAGTAAACCCTACCCCCCCCACACCCACAACTTTCTTCATAGATCCTTTGTAGGAAGATACGCCTGCCAACTGGGAAGTGTAAATCCTTGGGTCTCCTGTTAGTGCTGTGATTTGTTCAAAGCTTAAAATTAATCCTCCCGATTATCAGATCCACTTTTTTTAAGGTCAGGGCTTGACGGTAGAGCCTAGAAGAAGCACCAATCAGCTGGAATGTTGCAGCATCTCCAGGGTCTTGTGATTTACATTCAGATGCTTGGCAACCGATTCATATTTATGACGGTCACAGTGTCCCAGGGTCAGGTGAAGTGACCAAAACCTGCTGCAACCACCCAGCAGATGGGGGGGGGGGAATAAAAACCAAACACCCCCCACCCCACCTCCGCTGCCAATCCTCAACAGAAATGCTCACAACAATGAAAACCTCAGACAGGAGGAAGAGCGCCGCCGGGTGGGCAGGCAGCTGTCTTGCTCGACTGTGGCTTGGGGGGCACTTTTTTCAGTGCCATTGTAACTTCGAACAGTCACTAAGCGAACTGTTGTAAGTCGAGGACTACCTGTACTTTATTAATTTTTTCCTTTTTTTTTTTTTTTTTTTGTCATCAAGTTTTTGACACCTTGCTAGGCGACTGGTGGTACTCGGATGTTGCCATATCCTAAAAGTGGTACAATGGGTGAAAAGGTTGGAAAGCCCTGTGCTAAATCACTGTCTGTCTTCTTCCTTTCAGGGCTGGTCAGCTACCTTGACGATGTTCCATTTAAGATAGGAGAAAAGTTCAGAAGACCAGCTAAAGTTGGCTTGCCCATTGGTTTCTATTTGCCAGAATCTCTACAACTGATAAGCGAAGCCCAGGTGAGTCCTAAATTCTGAACATTTTTTAAAGATGGTGCTTCCACCTGTTTAATCTGTCGAATCACAATTAGGAAAAAAAATAGTACATTTAAAGATTGCTAGTTTCTAACTTACGTCCCTTAATTCATCTCACTTCAGTCTAAAGCCCCTCTCTTGTTGACCTCATTGGGTCGATTCCTTCCGTTTCCTTAAAATAGATCTGTTTGTTTTGTTTGCATCTCTGCTGTGTTGTCTGTAGAAGTCAAATAACAAAACAGCAGATCTGCAGCCCACGTTGTCTGTATATATTTGTTAATCATCAGGGAGAAGGTCTGTAGAAGTTGCAGTAAAAGGCAGAGGTCCTCTTTCGTTTGAAGTTCCTCTTTCTTTTGAAGATTTTAGAATGGTAGGCAAATGGTCTGAGGTGTCCTCACAGCCAGGGTGTTTTGAGGGCATACTTGGTCTTTGCAAAAGTTATCTTAACAAGGGCTCCCTATCTGGTTCTCAATAAACTACCCAAAAGGATCTGATGGTGCCTTTATCAAGAGATGCTTTTCCTTTGGAGGAAATATCTTAGCTCTCAGAGTTTTCCAATGCAGGGTCCTTGGTGCCCTCTGAGCTTGGTGGTTTTCTTGCAGACGTTTCATCATCCAAACTAGGTAACATCATCGATGCTAGAAGGGAGTGGGGTTGGCTCTGATTTTATATACTAGTATATAAAAATGAGAGCAAACCCCACTTCTTTCTAATGCTGATGATGTTATCCAGTTTGACAATGAAATGTCTGCAAGAAAACCACCAATCTCAGAGAGCACCAAGGACCCCACAATCATCATTCTCCTCCTCCTCCTCCTCCTCCCTCTCTCCTTTATTTTCTCCCCCTCCTCCCCCTCTTTCTCCTTTTCCTCCTCCTCCCTCTCTCTTTACTCCTCCCTCCCTCTCCTCTCTCTTTACTTCCTCCTCCTCCTTCCTCCTATACTACCACTCCTTCATTTCTCAATCCCCGCTACCTTCTAGCACTGATGATGTTACCTAGCTGGGTCATGAAACATCTGCAAGAAAACCACCAAACTCAGAGAGCACCAAGGACCTCACAATCCTCCTCCTCCTCCTCCTCCCTCCTTTATTTTCTCCCCATCCTCCCCCTCTCCTTTTCCTCCTCCCTCTCTCTTTACTCCTCCCTCTCTCTCCTTTTCCTCCTCCTCCTCTCTCTCTTTACTTCCTCCTCCTTCTTCTCCTTCTTCCTATACCACCACTCCTTCATTTCTCAATCCCCGCTCCCTTCTAGCACTGATGATGTTACCTAGCTGGGTCGTGAAACCTCTGTCAGGAAACCAAGTTCAGAAAGCACCGACCTGCCACCTGTGGAGGAGATGGATTGTTTATAAATAGAGTTTGTGGAGTTAGAGATATTAATAATTGTTTACCTATATTTGAACATTAGTCTGGGACTTGGTTTGGGAAGTCCGGGGGGGGTGGGATATAATATAATATTGTGTAATACTTGTGATGGTGTTTTTTTTTGGAAAATAATAAAAATTTTATATTGAAAAAAAAAAAAAGAAAGCACCGACGACCCCACACTTCAACCCTGAGCTACGAATCTTCTCTTCCATTGGTTCTCCAGCCGGTTACCCTGATTCCTTTCTCTCTTTTCAGTATGACTTCTCACTGGAAAAGAAAACCATCGAGTGGGCTGAGAACATTAAAAGAATACAAGCCGTCCAGGAAGAAACCGAGCGGAAATATAAGGAGGCCCTAGCCAACATGAAGGGGGCCTCGGAGGAGCAGCTCTCCGAGGGTTGTGGTCCAGGGGCCGCCCTGCCTCTCCCCATCAACCCCATCCTGGCCGGCCTGCATCACAACTCCATCCTTACTCCCACCCCAGCCAGCAGCAGTGCTCTGAAGCAGAAAGTCTTGAGCCCCCCTCACACCAAGGCCGACTTCAACCCGGCAGACTTTGAGTGTGAAGAAGACCCTTTTGACAAGCTGGAGCTGAAGACCTTAGACGACCGGGAAGAGCTGAAGAACATCCTTCAGATCCACGTCGACGCCACGGGGCCCATCGTCGCCCAGCTGCTCGACCACAGCTTGCCCAGAGTGGCATCTCAGTCGGTTTTGCAAGACCAGGAGGTCTTGGCCTCTCTGGAAAGGGTGACTTTGGACCTCAAGCCTCTGCACAAACCCAACGGTCTCGTGGCCTTGCCTCAGCTGGGCGGGCACGAGAAGATGTCCCTGTCGTCCAAAGGGTCCCTCTCGCCCGTGACGTCGGTGAGCAACATCAAATCCCTCTCCTTTCCAAAGCTGGATCTGGACGAGAACGACCTGCAGACGGCAAGGCTGGCAAACGCCTACCGTACACACAACGGCACTCTCCTCGGCTCTTTACCGGACAAAGCCAATGAACTGAATGGACATCACGTGATCAGGGTTTCCACCTTCGGTGCGGACCCCGGCCTGGACCCCCGAACGTTATCCTCCGGTTCCAGAGGTCCTTCCCAGCCCACCTCCGTAGCATGTACAGAAGACATTCCGGTCCTCACTACGAGCACAGCGGTGAGCACTGCGCTTTGGGGGGGTAGAGCGCGAGCTTTGATGAGAAGAGGGGGGGGCTGTATTCCCCCCCCTTTCACAATTTTTATTTTGTTCCAAAGATTAAAAGACAAAATCCAAAGGGGGGGAAAAAATCAGACACACAACAAAACCGGACAAAAGCAAGTTGTTTTGTGGCTGTTTTGTATACTGCTCACAAAAATAAAAGGGAACATTTTAACATGGAACTGAAGGAGTTTGCGTTCCCTTTATTTTTGTGAGCAGTATATTAAATAAAGCCATGTTCCCTAATTGGGACCGAATTTTGGAAGGCTGAAATTAAGCGGGGGATGGAATACAGACAATCCTCGACTTGCAACCATTCGTTTAGTGACTGAAGTTACAGTGGCACTGAAAAGAAAAGTGACTCCTCACCATTTCTCACATTGATTGCTGTTGGAGCCTCCCTCTGGTCACGTGATCAAAATTCGGCAACTGGCTCGTATTTATGACGGTTGCAGTGTCCCGGGGTCGCGTGATCCCTTTTTGCGACCAAAAATCAATGGGGGGAAGTCAGATTCCTTTACAACTGTGTTAGTAACAACTGCAGCGATTCACTTCACAGTTGTGGCAAAGCTCATTTAACAATTGTCCCGTTTAGCGCCAGAAATTTAGGGTTCCATTGTTGTAAGGTAAGGACTACCTGTTACTTTGGGGGAAATATATTTCTGGCTTCTTGGACTGATGTGATTGGAGTATAGAGGGCGTTGAGGATTTCCAGATTTTAAAATAATAGGCAGTTCTCGACCTACGACCACAATTGAAAAAAAAAATTTCTGTTGTTAAGTGAGACATTCATTAGGTGAGTTTTGCTTCATTTTACGACTTTTCTTGCTGCAATTGTTAAGTGAATGATTGCAGTTTTTAAGTAACCCGGTTGTTAAGCGAATCGGGCTCTCCCGTTGACCTTTGCTGGTCAGAAGGTCGCAAAAGGGGATCACGTGACCCTGGGGAACGCTGCAACGGTCATAAGTGTGAACCGGTTGACAAGCCTCTGAATTTTGGTCACGTGACCACAGGGATGCTGCAATGGTCGTAAGTGTGAAAAACGGTCCTAAGTCACTTTTTTCAGTGCCATTGTAACTTCAAACAGTAACTAAACGAACTGTTGTAAGTCAAGGACTACCTGCAACCATTTTGGGTGTGTTTTAAATCTGGGGATAGAAAACTAGGACTTCATTGGAGAGAGAAAAAACCCACATCAAAACCAGCTGAGATGATGTGGCAGGATTGCAGAAGCCTGGCGGGGGTGGCCCTGAATGGTGTGTTCACACAGCTCAAGGGTAATGGGGGGGTGGGGTCGTCCTTGATGCCCATTTTTTTCAGGTACCCACCCAAACCCTAGTTTCACACCTGCAGCTGGAAGAAGTGCAGAGAAAGGCAGCTAAAATAGGGGACTCAACATTTTCCATATTAAAAAAAGGATAATTTTTAATTATCCCATACATGCTATCAGCATTTGTTTTACAGTGGATGCACAGGGTATCAACCCTTTCATTGAACTGTTTGCCATTGGTTCCTGATCTCCTTCATCGGTCAGCTGTTAGCTCTGATCCTGAGGGTTTTTTTTTTATAGGATCAGAGCTAATGGTTACAACAGCACTTTTGTTTTTTAGTTACTTTGTAACTTCAAACTGTCAGTGGAATAGGGATAGCGATAGAATAGAATAGAATAGAATAGAATAGAATAGAATATGGAGGAATAGAATAGAATAGAATAGAATATGGAGGAATAGAATAGAATAGAATAGAATAGAATAGAATAGAATAGAATAGAATAGAATAGAATAGAATATCGAGGAATAGAATAGAAAATATGGAATGGGATAGAATAGAATAGAAAATATGGAATGGAATGGAATAGAATAGAATAGAAAATATGGGATGGGATAGAATAGAAAAGAATAGAATAGAATAGAATAGAATAGAATAGAATAGAATAGAATAGAATAGAATAGAAAATATGGAATGGAATAGAATAGAAAATATGGAATGGAATAGAATGGAATAGAATAGAATAGAATAGAAAATATGGGATGGGATAGAATAGAATAGAATAGAATAGAATAGAATAGAATAGACAGAGTTGGAAGGGACCTTGGAGGTCTTCTAGTCCAGCCCCCTGTTCAGGCAGGAAACCCTATACCATTTCAGACAAATGGCTGTCCAGACTTTTTAAAAAAAACCTCCAGTGTTGGAGGAATAGTAACATTGAAGACTAGCCTGTATTGTTTTTAATCAACAAACTTGATTATACCACTAGTCACCTCTGAATCCAGGTGTTTCATAAATACAGCCGGTCCTTAACTTACAATAGTTCGTTTAGTGACCATTCGGAGTTACAACGGCACTGAAAAAAGTGATTTACGACTGTTTTTCACACAACCCTTGCAGCATCCCCATGGTCACATGATCAAAATTCAGCCGTTTGGCAACTGACTCAGAATTACGCTGGTCCCGGTATCCCTGGGTCAGGTGATCCCCTTTTGCTACCTCTGACAAGCAAAGTCAGCGGGGAAACTATATTCAGTTAACAACTGTGTTACTAATTTAACAACTGCAGTGATTCACTTAATAACTGTGGCATGAAGGTCGTCAAATGGGGCAAAACCCACTTGATAACTGTCTCGCTCAGTAACAGAAATGTTGGGCTCAGTCGTGGCCGTATGTCGAGGACTCCTTGTAATGATTTATCTTTTCCTTCCCTGAGCAAGACCCATTTCTCCAGTTTTGCCACATGAGCCATTGGGGTTTCGGACAGATTGAACAGAAAAACATGTCAGTGTGCTTCAATTTTAGGTATATCATCTAGTGTAGATTAGTATTTTTCAATCCTGGCAACCTGAAGTTGTGTGGACTTCAACTCTGGAAATTGAAGTCCAGAGTTTCAAGTTGCCAAGACTGAGAAACAGTGGTGTAACTTATACCCAGATATGGCCAGGGGAAGTAGTAATTGTTGAGTTGTCCCAACACCTGCAGTGAAGGGAGAGTGGATTTTCCTAACAGAGATCCTCTTTGCTCTGCCTACGTGGATTAAGCCCTAATCCCACGGCTCTTGTGGGTGTTATTGACGCTGCTTCTTTAAAAGTCAGATTTTGTCCCCTGGATTTGGTCTAGTGATTTTACCTTGTGGAGGCTATTTTTGGTTGGCTTTTTCACTGTCAGTTCTCCAGGCTTTTTGGACAAATCTTGATCAGCTTCCTGCTTTCTCCGTTTCTTTTCCTCGTTCATGGTTGGTAGGTAAGTAGGTAGGTAGACAGTAGACAGGTAAATGAGATAAATTGAGATGTAGGTAGGTAGAGATAGGCAGACGATAGATGGAGAGATAGTTTGGATAGATCAGTGGTTCTCAACCTGTGGGTCGGGACCCCATTTGGGGTCGATCGACCATTTCATGGGGGTCGCCAAGCAAGGCTGTCCGCCATTTTTTTCCCCCTTTTCCGGTGGGTGCCTTACCTCCCTTGGGCTGGGCCAGCTGGTGGTCGGCCTGCTCTGTCTCTGCCGCTTGCCAGCTACTCCTTGGCCGGCGCAGGGGGCGGAACCACACATGCGTGGCGCTCCCGGGCAGGGAAAGTCCTCGACTTACGACCGGTTTAGTCCTCGACTTATGACTGGTTTAGTCCTCGACTTACGACCGGTTGGGGTCGCGGCATTAAAAAGGTTGAGAACCACTGGGATAGATAGATGGAGGCAGAAGAGATAAATAGAAGATGTAGGTAGGTAGTAGACACGTAGATGAGATAAATAGTTATGCAGATAAATGATAAGATAAGATAGATAGATAAAAATGCCTGGATGAAGGCTTCCACTTTGACTTAGGAGCGGTGCCGGTGTTCTGCCTTCCCCTCAAGACATTCCCATTCTTTCCCTTTTGTTAGGTAACTCACCAAAGTTTCCAGACTTCCCAAGTGCCCAAGACTACCAGCAGCTGTACAAAAGGGCCCGGCAATTTTGCCTATGGGGAGGTGCTGCAGGCCCTGTCCTCCAGCGAACGAGAGTATCTCGAAATCGTCGTGGGCATGGGCTACTCTTACGAAGAGGTCTTAAAAGCGATGAAGAGGAAGGGGCAGAGCATAGACCAGGTAAGAAAGAGGAAGATCTCGTCCATACATCTGGGAAAAGGGAGCAAGTGACACCCAAGTCAATATTGGCTGTGGTTTGAGTGCTCAGAGGTGACACCCCAGTTTGTTCCTTGTCATTTTGGCATCACCCCCCCTGGTATTTGCAGCATAGAAAAGGCTGACAGTGGGTCAAGAACTTAATGGTGCTTTGATGGAGAGAGGGAACACCTGGGAGAATTTTTCTTACTTACCTATTGGTCTAATTTAAATCCCACCCTTACTATTTTTATAAATAATTCAAGGCGGTGAATATCTCCTATTTTCCCTTACCATAACCACCTTGTGAGATGATCTGAGCCAGACATGTCAAACCCAAGGCCTGGGGGCCAGATGCGGCCTGTGATGTGGTTTCATGTGGCCCGTGAAGCCATCCTGGAAACAGTGAGGGAACGGCCCCCGCTGCCTTGGCCCTGACCCAGGCTGCCTGGGAGCCAATGTACAATTTTGTGGTGGCCATCTATGCTGAAACAGATTCAGTCTTAGCTCCACAAGGCCGTCCGAAAACAGCGAGGAACCAGCCGTTGCCGCGTCAGCCCCGCCCCCTGGGTGCATGCTGGGGAGGTGTCATCCTTTGTGAGGAATGAAGAAATGCACCATCGCCTGGAAGTGGCCAGCAAATGGCCCTGGCCTACTTCACATATCCAGCTTGATGGGCTCCGGGGGAGGGGTTTCGGCAGGCTCTTCCAGTGGACCATGCCTTGGCGCTTGCCCTGGTCCCACCCCCTTCTGCCAGAGACCCTCAGATCTGTCCCACTCCTGCCCAGGCCCCCACAGGCACCTTTGACGCGAACGATGTAGAGCTGGCCATGCCCACCCAGTAGGCCACACCCACTCCAGCCATGCCCACCCAGTAGGCCGCGTTCACCCTAGCCACACCTAACCGGCCCCCCGAGGACAACCACAATGCTGATGCAGCCCTCAATGAACTTGAGTTTGACACCCCTGATCTGAGCTGAGAGGGACTGGCTCAAGGTCATCCAGCTGGCTTTCGTGTCTATGGCAAGACTAGAACTCCCTGTCTCCTGGTGACTGGCCCAAAGTCACCCAGCCAGCTTTCATGCCTAAGGTGGGACTAGAACTCACCATCTCCCGTTGTTTGGCCCAAAGTCACACAATCAGTTTTCATGGTTAAGGCAGGACAAGAAGCAAACTAACCAAGGAGAGAAACAACCTGGAATTAAGGAGAAACTTCCTGAGAGTGAGAACAATTAACCAGTGGAACAACCTGCCTCCAGAAACCGTGGGTGCTCCAACAGTGGAGGTTTTCAAGAAGAGATTGGACAGCCATTTGTCTGAAACGGTATAGGGCTGTCTGCTTGAGCAGGGGGCTGGACTAGAAGACCTCTAAGGTCCCTTCCAACTCTTGTCATTCTGTTATTCTGCTAAATATTTTTGGAACTGATCACGCCTGATGATTGTTTCGATCGGAAGATGGATACTGCCCCATGTTCATATTCTACAGGTAGTCCTCAACCTATGACCACAATTGAGCCCAACATTTGTGTTGTTAAGCAAGTCATTTGTTAAGTGAGTTTGACTCCATTTTACGACCTTTCTTGCCAAAGTTGTTAAATGAACCACTGCAGCTGATAAGTTAGCAACCCGGTTGTTAAGTGAATCTGGCTTCCCCATTGAGTTTGCTTGTGAAAAGGTCGCAAAAGGGGATCACGTGACTCTGGGATACAACAACGGTCATAAAAAATATGAACCAGTTGCCAAGCATCTGAATTCTAATCACGTGACCCCGGGGATGCTGCAAAGGTCACAACTGTGAAAAACGGTTATAACCCACGTTTTAGTGACTTTGAACAGTCACTAAACGAACTGTTGCAAGTCAAGGACTACCTGTACATAAGTGGGAATCGGAATAGCATTGAAAATGAAATTTGTGGATGGTACGAGCAAAATCATAAGCCTTTTTCCGAAACAGTTCAGAGCTATTGGTAGAATCAGGTGAGAAGATCCTGGTCAGTTCAGGCAGCTCAACTCTAGAAAAGATGACATTAGACTCGCAGAACAAATGTCCCGGCTCATTTCTCTCTGGATTCTTGATGGCTTTTCCATCAAGCGGGATTGGCCTAGGGGGGGATTTTATAGGGATTTTAAAGGGATTTTATAATATCAAATTTAATACAGGTTATTTAATATATATTTTAATTTGGCTTTTAGAGATATTTATTGTATTGTACTGTTTTTATTTACCTGTAAGCCGCCCTGAGTCCCTCGGGAGAAGGGCGGGGTATAAATGGA